TGATCATTCCCCTATATATATATATATATATATATATATATATATATATATATATATATATATCCCCCAAGCATCATATAAACCTATGCTGACAGGGGTTGAGTTCCGGTTAAGAAGGAGAGTCAAGCTGAGAAGCGTAAGAAGTGATCTCTACCCTTGGATGCACATTAGGATGAAATACACCAAGATGAGATGCACCAAGATGTAGTGAATCAATCTCCATATCAAACATGATTAATGGGTAGGTTTGAGATTAAAGATGATCAAAGGTTCAGATCCTTTTTAACACTTCTCACCTTAACTCTCTTTATTGCACGATCTTTCGCCAGGCCGACAAATGGCTTCGAGTTACTTGACTCCGATGTAATCCTCGGGTCCATTTCCACGTCTAACTTAATGTGGCCATATGACGTGGATTTGAAAAAACTATAACTTATAAAAGCATGCATTCTTAGTCCATCGTTCAACATTCCGTACCTTCTTCGATATTTCTCATCATAAAAAATATTCAAATAACATAAGAATTCAAACAAAAAAGACAGAATTATAACATTAATTCCAAGTAAATTTCAATCTTGGGTTAATTCATACAATCATACATAGTAATTCAAGAAACTATAAACCAAATATATATATATATATATATATATATATAACACATATATATCTACTTTCATTGATATGTGTTTTGTATCAGTTATATATGCACGATGGGTATCCACAATCGTGCTTGTTACCACGCTTTTTAAACAGCTTATTGGCCACATAGCATTGTGAAAAAACCCATTTTTTACTTGTACGGTTATAAGCCAAAAGTTTTTCAACCATGATTCCCCTTTTTTAAGAAAAAGCTGAATGAAAAAGCTACACCATTGTAGATGCTCATAAGGTTACAAATCCGAAAAGCATCCAAAAAGATGGTTGGTTTGAAGCTCGTTGTCGCCATTCATCATCGGCATACTTGAATACGAAAATGAACTCGATTTGCTTAACTCGGACTCCATCAAGTTCTCCATGTTTTTCCAATCATTACCATATTGATTAAAATCGATCCTGCTTTCATAATCACCATCTTCGTTTGTTGCTAAGCTTCTTGAAGCCGAGGGGCTGTCGATGTTCGAATGTTCGATTAGGAAATGGTTTGCAAAGAATTGTTGATCTTGATCAGTACCAAATGGTAGTTGATGTGAACTTGTGGATTGATTTGAATGAAAAGATTGCAACGGGTTAAAGGGATCGTTAGCGGATGAAAATGACCGAAAATTATTGGTGTTTCCGAGATGGTATCCATCGTTCCAAGTTTCGAATGCTTGTTTTTGAACTGGACTTGGTTTCTTGAATGCTCGACAAACCACCCAGCCTTCTTCCTGCAATAACGGAAATAAGATTAGATTTTATGTGCACGTTTATTTTATGCATTAAAATTGTGTGAGAATACGTGGAATCCTTAGAATCTCTCGATGATTTTCATAAGTCGAGAGATTCCTAAGAATATAAAGGTGGGTTGATGATGGAAGCATTAATTTCGTAAAATGAAATTAAATAAAGTATCGTTAACGGATTGTTTTATAAGATTTAAGTTTATAGGACCAAAAAATTATGAGTCATATTTAAAAGTGTTATAAAACATTTTTTGTGTGTTAACAAGTTTTTTATGACATTTTTAATATAAATGTCATGTTTTTTTTTTTTATATGACACTATTGAAAAGTTTCCTATGAACACTTGTTTCACATAAAGACATAAAAAGAATTAATAAGACGTTTTACTTCATAATTTCCCAAAAAACTTGTTAAAACATTCAAAACTGTACAATAAAATCGGGTTTATAGAACACTTACAATTTCTAAGCGTCCTAATAGACCTCTTTATAAGACTTAGTTTATAGAACAAAAAAAAAATAAAACATTCTATCTAAAGGCGTTGTAATAAGTTTGTATGAAGTTTTTTGACGTTATAATAAGCTTTTAGAACACTTCTAATATAAAGCGTCCCATTAGCAATTTTATACGACATTATTTGAAAAACTGTTCTATAAAAACAAATGTCCTATAAAAAATCGAGTTTATAAGACACTTTCTCAAAAGTGTCATAAAATTGCTCATTCGACACTTTGTATTAAAAATGTCCTAAAAATTGTTAAGACGCCCAAAAAATCATATAAACTTATTAGAACATCTTTAAATATGACACTTTATATTTTGGTCCTATAAATTAAGTCCTATAAAACGGTCTATTGGGACGCTTAGAGATCGGAGGTGTCCTATAAACCCAATTTTGTTGTAGTGAAAATGTCTTATAAACTTGTTGTAACGAGTTATAGTTATATAGGATGCACAAATGTTCGGTTCTTTAAACTTAAAACCCTACAAAACAGTCTATCAAGAATCTTATACGTTTTGGATCCTATAAACTCATTTTCATTGGGGGCGAGCCTAGGCTAAAGTGGGTGTCTAGTCCGAAAAGATGCTAGACGATGGCTTTGAATCTCTATTTAAAGTAGTTGTTCATGATTAGCTGACATGAAACTCTAACAAAAGTTCAAAATGATATATCTATTAATCCAAACCAGTTTCCCTACACTCAAAATACGTCTTATCCAACATAAGTTTTCTATGATAGGTTATATTTTATGCATTCAATTTACGTTGTGATAGACCCGTCATTTAGGCAAATCGATAATGTTAAAAAACACATTAAATTTAGTATAATCATTAAAGTTTAGATTCAAATTATTAATGGTTTAGATTTAGTTTCATACTGTGAATCGCTTAGGTTTAACTCATTTTTGTTCTTAAGATCTATTCTTTATTATCTCATTTATGTAATGTAATTAAAAGTTTTAGATGTAACAGGTTCTCCAAAAAAGATATTGAAACGTCTCTGTATTAAATCAACGAAACCGTGTATCGTCTTTCGATACCCTAACCCTCTATCAGTGGCAAAAGTAGTGGGATTTCACGAGTTTAAAGTAGGTGCATGCTAGCAACGAGGAATATTGACCCTTCCAAAGCTTTCACATTCCAAACAAACAGTAACCTACGCCATTGTCAACAGCATACTTTGCCTCCACTGTTCCCATTATCCCTAACAATAGCCATCTTACTGTATTTGTTATTGTTATAAAGTAAGGAGTCGTTTACCAAATACTTAGCCGGTAAGTATTTATCGGTAAAATTTAACACTTATCATTTACTTATCGGGTAAGATTTTAGTCCACCAAGACAGCATCTTATGTCGCAATTTACCCGGTAAGTGCTTACCATGGTAAGAGTTGTCGTCCTCACTTACCGGGCAAGACTCGTGGTACTTGTCTCCCTCTTACTGGGTAAGATTCTTGGTCCTTACCATATTCATCCGATAAGTTAATATACTAGCTTCTAAGTTAGTTTTTCGAAAATCAATCTATTTTAGGTAACCTGCATGAGTTTTTCCACTTTTTTCCTATTATATCCCTTATGGTTTATATAAATGACCTAAACCCTATTATTTAAGGTATTCTTGCATTATCATCTAAGTTATCAAGTGATTTTACTAAACATGACTAATTTATTAACCAATAGCTAATTTGTCAAACATAATCTAAGGAATCGTTAATTATTACCAATGCAAACGGGATAATTGTTTACCAGGTAAAGTCACCACCTTCTGTTACCTTATTGGGTAAATTTTCGGCCATCAATATATATTGCACAGTATAAGTGTCTCTTATATGATAATTAGCACTAATAAGGTAACAGTTACCACCTTCACTTACCAGGTTATATTATCGATTAGCAAAATGATACGATAAGATTATTGGTAAAGACCATCAGCGTCACTAAACGGCCCCTAAACCTTTTAAATCAAATGGTTATGAGTTTCTGATATATGCATGTGTTCTTTGATACGTATTTTGTACGGTACTGCATTCCGTCTAATAAAACGATGAATAGGATGGGAACTTGCCTGTATGGGAGCGTGTTGAGATGACTGGAGACGATATTCGTGCATAATCCAGTCGCTTTTTAGACCGTTGGGTGCGCGTCCCTTGTAGAAAACAAGGGTTTTTCTCATACCGATGATCCTGTCTTTCGATAACACGGCTTTGTCTCTTCCCGTTGCCTTCCAAAAACCCGCTGCCGTCGCTCTGTTCGTCCTCGTCCCTGTTGGATACTTCCGATCTTTATGACTGAAGAAAAACCACTCGTTTTGTTCTTCATATCCCAATTTGCACTTTCCTGTTTTCGTATCGAAAGAACAAAAAAAGAACGCAAATTTTATTTCGTATGTAACGTTTGATAATAAATTCAAAACGCATTCGATAAAATTGTTTCCGTTTTCAAGAAAACGAAAATCGAAATTGTGTTTTATTATAAATTTAATTCGGTTATTGATCTATAAATATTTATCAATACCTTAGAGTGTTAAATGTGAGATTTTGAACAGGGCCCGCAAAATTTTTGGGACCTAAATTTACATGTGTTTAGGGTCTTTTTATCGACATGTGTAAAACTATGGTCGAAATTATTTAGGCTCAAACCATTTATTGTTTGGTTTTAGGTTCAAATCATTAATGGTTTAGAGTTAGTTTCAGATTGTTAATCGTTTTGGGTTTAATCCATTTTTGTTCTTAACATATATTTTCTGTTATCTCATTATGCAATGTAATCAAAAGTTTTGGATGTAGTCTCCAAAAAGATAGGAACGTCTCTGTTAAAAATGAATAACACTCTATGAACCTTTTCTTCTAGGGTTTGTTTCAACTTGAATTCGAGAAACGCAAAACCAATATTCGATTGTATCCGTTATGACAAAGTTAACATACATGCACAATGTAGACACATATTTGTATCAAGAAAATCATCTCGAAACGGGCACTAATTGAAGTGCAAAAAATGCGTTTGCAAACACAAACTTATTTGTTAAAAAGATTTTTCAAGTGTTCGATATGCATTATTTAAGGACGAACGAAACAAAATTTGTTTGTCCCCAAAGTTCCCTTTCCCCGTCTACCAATCACGTAAAACCATGTCTACAATATGAAGAGAGAGGATAAAAAGTTGAAAATAAAAATAATGATATGTATTCACGTGATTGGTGGAACAAGAAGAATACATAGAATTTTGGGAGAACAGATTCTTATTCAGACAGAGAGCGATTTTTGACAGGTTTATATGGTGTTTATTAATTAGGTTACCTTCAATATCCCAAGGCTCCATTCTGTAAAGATCGATATCGACGATAACATCAAGATCAATTCGTAGGGACTCGACTTTCCTTTTGAGGTAATAGCCGACGAGTTCTTCCTCGGTGGGATGAAATCTGAATCCTGGGGGAACGGATGACGACTCCAACGACTCCATCGATAGATCGGTTGTTCTTGTGATCTCTTTCTATAAAAGGAAAGTACATACATTAAGAAGAAGAGAGGAAAATAAAAGGAATGAGAATATATATAGTATTAGAATAGATCCCAGATATGGGTAGAGAGTCCAAGTCGTGAACTACAAACTTAGTAGTAGCCAGCCAGCCAGCCAGCCAGCTACGGTTGTTGCTCATGATTCACAACCACTCGTGAACAAAAGACCTTATGATTATAATATCAAGTGGGACCAAAAACCACAATTGCAATTTAACCCCATATATGCAAAGATTTTGGGTACTTTTATCTTTTATTTTTTATTTTTTATTATTTTTATTGATTACTGGTTTAATTCATTTTAAGTTGGATATTTAGGGGCTGTTTATTAAACGTGTATTTGGGTAAGTGATCACTTACCTTACCGGATAAATATAGTAAGGATCAATAATCTTACCCGATAAAAGCTAGACAAGGACCAAGAATCTTACCCGGTAATAGTGAGACAAGGACCAAGAGTCTTACCCAGTAAGTGAGAACGACGACTCTTACCATGGTAAGCGCTTATAGGGCAAAATTGTTCCATACGCTACCGTTTTGGTGGACTAAAATCTTACATGGTAAGTAAATGATATGTTAAATTTTACCGGTAAACGCTTACTGAATGAATGTTTGGTAAACGGCCCCTTAGTTTGACAGAATGTTTTTGAAAATTTTGTAAAATGATTTAAAATCTTTGTTGTGTTTTGTTTGTAAGATCTGGATTTAAATTTATTAAAATCAAATTATAAATAATAATAAAAATAAGTAAATTATTTTTTATTAATTATTATAAAACAAATGTTTTTAATAATTTTTATTAATTATTACAAACGAATCCAATGAAATCTCGTGAAATACCAATTATTCTTTTCAGATTTCTAAATCTAATGTGTCTGGATTTCATTGAATCAATATAGAAATACCAACTATTCTCCTCAAATTTCTATAGAAAAACCAATACGTTTATTTAAAAGTATTATAAAAATTTGTTAAAACGTCCAGAAACATTGTATAAACTTATTGTAATATTTTACATAGATTGCATAGTTATTTGATCTAAATGTAAGTCCTTTAAGCAATACAACAAAATAGGCTTTATAAGACGCTTAGATTGTATAAGCGTCGTAATAAAATACTTTATAGAACTTAGGTTTATAGAACCAAACTATAAAGTGTCATATCTAAAAGCATTTCAATGTGTTTATAAAACGTTTTTAGGCATTTTAACAAGTTTTTAGGACGTTTTTACAGTAAAACATCATATTAACTATTTGCAAAAGTGTCATATAAACCCATCTTTTTATAAGAGATTTGTGTTTATAGAACATTTTTTTCAAATAATGTTGTATAAAATAGTTAATATGACGTTTTATTTTAAAATTGTCCTAAAAACTTATTAAAACGTCCTAGAAATCTAATACTTTTAGACAAAACGTTTTTTGGTTTATTTTTATAAACTTAAGTCATATAAATTATTTTTTAAGACATTTCTACATTTTATGTATGTTATAAAATTAATTTTGTTATAGTGAAGATGGTTTATCAAAACATTTAAGGAATTTCGACTATTGTTACAGAATTTGATAAACTTTGTTATTTTATTAATATAAAAAGAAATTAACCAAGGGGTCGTTTACCAAACTTTTATCTGGGTAAGAGCTTACTAAGTTACATTACCTTACCGGATGAATGTGGTAAGGACCAAAAATCTTATCCGATAAGAGTGAGGCAAGTAAAAGAGTCTTACCCGGTAAGTGAGGACGATGACTCTTACTATAGTAAGCACTTACCAAGTAAATTGTTGCATACAATGTCTTTTGTGAACTAAAATCTTATCGGATAAGTAAATAATAATGTTAAATTTTACCGATAAACGTTTACCGGTTAAGTATTTGATAAACGCCTCCTAAATAAATAAAGGGGGAGAGAGGGGATGGATGTGGAAGTGGAGCCCACAAAGCAACATAGAAAGAAGGCAGATTAAGAGTATTACTATAACATAGGACAATAGTATGCAAGTTATCAGCAGAAAACTTTGACTTTTTGTTTAGAAATAGAAGCTTAATTGTAAGCATGTTATGTTTTCTTTGAGTACATTCCACTCCATGTTTCCTCATCATAAGGTCATAGATCACCCCCCCTACCCCACACATCAAACACCTCCCTCTCTATTCTCTAGTCTCCTACACTTTTATACACCCATCATCCCATTTCTATTTATTATCATAAAATATCTATTAAGACACCCTATAACCCTTCTTATAAAGCACTTAATGTCTGTCTAACAACTGTGCATGTCTTATATGAACATAATAAGCATTTAGATCGAAGTTATTACTTAATAGGATTTAAGAACTACATCATGCTATTGTCTTTTTTTTATAAGGGATATTATGAAAAGTGTCATAAAGCCAAGTTTTATTGTAGCGGAAGTCTCTTAAATCCGAAAAAACGTATGGACGATTTGTTTCTAGTGGTCTTGTTTCTAAAAAGATCTATCCAACCTTTTTCCTACATAATTTCGCAAAGTCTTGGAAACAACCACAAGATGAACATTGGCGGCTTAATGCATGCAAGTCGGACATGAAGTGGTGTTTACAGTGATGCATGAGCGAATAACAAATAAAACGGCTACTGGTACACCATAGGCCGAGGAGCAAAATGAGGAACCAATGAGGGGTCATCTGTGGTAAAGATTTGGTTTGATCCCACCTCCATACCATATTTCTATATGTAATATATAAATACTTTTTGGGTTTGATTATTCATTATTTGTGTTTTGAGAAAATGTTGCAAAGATATTGAGACATATTGCTAGACTGAGGTGATGACGAGGATACAAAACGTAAATCACCATCGTGATCATAAACTGACATAAAGGCCGCATATGATCGATGTTTCCGATATTGAAAAACCATTATTAGTGCAAACCATTTAGCATAAGAAAGTAGAAGAAGGCAAATTACAATGCAAACAAAACTGACCTTTTTATTTGTATATGAAAAACTGACAAACACGATGCACGAAGACTTGTCGGGTTTACTAGTTAGCTACGGTCCAAAAATCTTTAGATGCTCTTGTCCCCAGATTTGGATTGCGAAGGTTGATGTCGAAGAAGAATGAATGCTTGCCACAAGAGGGTAGACAACTTACACTATATATACATACAATATATATATATATATATATATATATATATATGTGTGTGTATGTATAGAGAGAGAGATATTGCGCGTGGGGGAGGGGTGGCAACGTGGGATTATGGATGAAAGGTTTGTTTTGGACGGCGTGACAACAAATTTCACGCCACCCTCCACCGTTTTTTTGTGCTTTAAGACTTCATTGAACCGTAAATATTTTTGTGTAGAGGTTTAATCATTTTGAAAACTTTAAAAGATTTTTAAGATTCACGAGAACGTTTATTGTAAGGTATTGTGTTCGTTACGTATATATTCGGTTCATAATTTGAAACTTTTTTATATGTAATTTTTGTTTCACAAACATATAAAAAGTGTTAATATTGTGAATCGGGTACATATGAAACAAACACATTGTAAAACAATTATATATTAATGAATATTCTAAATCCTAGTCTTAGATGAAAAAAAAAATCATATAAAATAACACATTATGTATAAATTTTCAAAGTTATCACAATTTTATGAGTTCTCAAAAAAATGTCTCCCTTTTATCCATTCTATATAACAAAAAATAATTATATAATGTCTGTTTATTTTAATATACAAACTGTAATGAACATATTACATACTTCATTTGAATTTTGTTGTGAGTGACGTATTTTAATTTAGTATTTCCAAAATGATCACAAATGTTTAGATAGTGAGTTTATATCTGAATATGCATAGAAATTAATGTAACATACTTTGATATAACTCTTGTTTTACACAACGTATTTTATTATAAACATTCAATATATCACATCTAAGGGGCCGTTTACTAAATATTTACCCGGTAAGTGTGGATCAGGTAACTTTCCTCACCCGATGTACATGGCAAAGGCTAAAAATCTTACCCGGTAAGAGCGATGATAGGGACAGATAGTCTTACTCGGTAAGTGATGGCGATGACTCTTACCCGGGTAAGCGTTTACCAGGTAAATTGTTGCATACGTTACCATTTTAATATACTACAATCTTATCTGGTAAAATAGATTATAATGTTGACTCCTATTAGTAAGCGCTTATCGGGTAAATATTTAAGTAAATGGCCCATAAGATGTTAATTTAAATGATGATTTTGAAAGCATGTTATATAGACACAATAATAATCGAATCAAAATATATTACACTTGTTTTCTATCTTTTGAAATATTTATTTTAGGTCCCGTTTGGTTTGTAGGAATGAAATGGATTAATTTGGGGGATTTGGATTTCAGTCAATTCCAATCCTATATTTAATTTGTTGGATTGTGCGGATTTGTAATCTTAGGATTTAATTAAAATCCTACAAACATAAGATTTTAAAATTCTTAGGAGATGCTCGGGATTTCACGAGATTTTGTAGGATTGTATGAAATAAGGTTTTAAAAATGTCAAAGACATTTGTTTTATAATAATCGATTAATAAAAATGTAATTTAATTATTTTTATAATCATTTATAATTTTTTTATAAATAATGTAATTCATATTTATTCCAAATCATACAAACCAAACATACCAATAATTTCAAAATCTATTCCAATCCAAATCCCTAAAAACAATCATGTGAACTAAATAGATCCTTAGTATTTAAAACTAGACATTTTAACAAAAAACTTTAATAGTTATGTTTTGAATAAAGTTTTTTTCTAGTAAATTATAAGGTAAAGTGGAGTCAAATGGGTGTTTGAGATTGCTTATTTGAAATAACTTATATTTTTTTACAAAACCATTTATCAATTTATTATAAGTTAGAAGAATTTAACTTCTTTAAAAACTCTTTATTACTAGTTTGACATCGGT